GGTGGGGTCTTTATCCTAACAAGATTCGAGGTGGAAAAGAGAAAGCCAATATCACTGAGTCTTTAATTGTTGTCAGCAATTTTTTACATTAAACCTTCATGTTATTTTAGCTAGATTATCGTGTTGAGTTCGTTGCCCACTACCATCGGAAAGAGCTACTCATAGCTCTCGCTAGTGATATGATGCTTTATCATCTCAACATCTTGACAGACTTCAAGACTGAGGAGAAACTAAAGGTGAGCTTCACAGCTCGTTATTAAGAAAAGCCTGTGATTCTGAATTTTTTAGGTGAAACTAAATGGAAAACCCGGTAGCACTATTCTTATACTCAGAGAAAATATTCTTCTCATTTCTCACCAAGAGCGTGACCTTAGAGTGTGGAATCTCGAAACGGAAGAAAATGGGATCATATCGTTACAACCTGCAAAAGGGTATAGCACCGAAGATGCAGTCCTGTGCATGGATTACTCAAAAAGGAAGGGTAAGTGCATTGGGGTACGAATGAAATTTTAGTTGATTCCCTCACTATGCTGTTGCAAGAAAATCGCATTGGTGATATTTGAATGTTACAAAAAATGAAAACAACTCGAAATATCTTTTGTATGCTGAAGCGCCTGAACAAAAATCATTTTGTAAGGAGATGAATTTGGTCAAATTCACGTAATGAGGAGTAATTAATTTTCTGCTTAATCCATTTGTTTTATTATGTATAACATTATGCTCATTGGATATAGCAATCACTTTGTGTGTGAGCTACTTTCAAGAAATACAATACCGCTCATAACTTCTGCAAAAAAAACATGATTTCACATAAAAATCCGTCGCGAGGGATGATCCGTCGCAAAGCGTCGCATCGTCATAACTTTTTTCAAAATAGATATTTTTCAAAGGAAAAAATGGCGTTGGACTCAGCTCGTTGAGAGGAATCTTCCAGTATGTCACACCACAGCAATATCTGTGGTATACGGTAGGCGTAGGTAGGAGGTCAACATTGCGAATCTGTCTAAAACTTCGCTTAGGAGGGTTATCTGGTACGCTGATCGTGAAAAAACGTAAGTCGCTACCGTAAGAAAATTCATTTCTTACGGTAGCGATTTACTGTAAAGATACGACAGTCGTACGTTAAGAGGTCACCATTGCTGCACCGCCTGTTTTTTTTTCGTCTAGATTATTATCTCATAAGCTGGTCATGAAAAAGCTATCCATTTTTTCACGAATATAAAACGATAAAGGACATGAATCCAAACAGAAACAATTTTGAAGGAATGATATCAGCTGGAACTTTGAATGGGAAGGTGGCTAACTGGAAGCATCGCGCTGGAGAGTCAACAGTCGAAAACTCCTGGCGGCTCCAGACTGGAAATCAAGTCGGAGAAAAAGTGAGTCCAGGACTCATCTTGTTTTGACCTCGTAAGCTTTCACATTTTTAGGTTTTATGGTTAGAATGGTGTCAAATGTACTCCGCTTTAGCTGTTAACACTGGGGCTGAGCTGACGATATTACAAGAAGAGAATAACATAATCTGCTTGAGGAGCAAGGTGTTATGGTTGATCTTTCGCAGAGAATTAGAATAGAATTAAATTACTACATTAGAAATTGTTGTGAATGGACATTATTTCAGATAGCAGCAATTCAAAGTGGTCCATCGTCATTT